AAAAAAAAAAAAAAAAAAAAGAGAGAGAGAGAGACTTTTGTCTTATTTTAAGGAAAAACAAGTCTGCAAGAACATCATTAATTATATATAAAAAGACATATATACATATTATTGGAAAAGAGATTGACACTTTGACGGCAGCACAGAAACCCACAATTCGATAGAGTCATCTTTCCTTTTCTTACTGTGGGGTTTGGAAAGAAGAAAGAGAGCAAACTCTCCCTCTCTTTGATGTGAATTTGATTATACGTTTACCGTCTCTTTTTCTTGTAGAGTCAGATTCTTTTTCTTATATATACATATATAAGAAATATGAAAAAGAGTAATACGCGGATACAAAGAAACAAACAAAAAAAGAAATTCAATAAGAATCAAACGCAATATACAGAAGAGAATCCTCGATGGAAAGAAAAAAAAAAAAAAAAAAAAAATCTCAATTATGTCTGTTCTCAGAAAGATATCTGCTATTGCGCTACAGTGATTCCACACATCCTACCCAACTCATGAACCTCCTAGAAGAGTTCCTCAATCTCTTTTTTCTGTTCCTGTGTTAACGTTTTGGGGAGTTCAAAGTGTACCTTAACATAAAGGTCCCCTCTTTCCGATGGCATATTGTGTTTTGGCATGCCCATTCCCCGTAACCGCAATACAGTTCCATAGGGTGTGACGCCTGTAGCCTCTACGGTGGTGTTTGTACCGTCTAGATGCGGTATTTGTTTGTTAAACCCGAGGAGTGCCTCTTTTAGGGTGATGGTGATGTTTGTATCGAGGTCTATATCATTGCGCCGCCTGCTAAACCTCGGGTGCGGGTGTGTGTGTATGGAGATGTGCAGATCGCCTGGCACCATGTCCGGTGACTCGTCTGCCTCCATCTCGAAGACCACCGTGTGCCCCTCGCCGACGCCGCGCTCAACGACGAGGTGCAGCGGCACTTCGCCCCGCACGACCCGCGCCCCTCCGCATATTCGACACGCCGCCTTCGCGACCCGCCCGCGGCCCCGGCAGGCCGGACACGTCTGGCGGACGTCTTGGTGCATGTGCGGGCCGAGCTGGAGGCGCTGCAGCACCACGCCGTTGCCGCCGCACGTCCGGCAGGTCGCCATGCCGCCGCCGGGGAGCGCGCCGGTGCCTTTGCAGCCGCCGCAGACCTTCTGCTTCTCAATCACGACGGACTCCTCGCCGCCGGTGAAGACCTTCTCGAGGGTCACGTGGATGGAGCCCTCCGAGTTCGGCCCGCGCACATTGCTGCCGGAGCTCATCCCAAAGAGGCGGGAAAGCGGATCCATCGCGTGGCCCGCATCGCCCTGCGCCGCCGCCCGCTCCAACTGGCGCAGACCCTCCTCCCCACGCATATCATACATCCGACGCTTCTTCTTGTCGGAGAGCACCTCGTTCGCGCGGCTGATTTTACTGTACATCGCCCGAGCCTCCTCCGTGTTGGCCACATCCGGGTGGTACTTGCGGGAAAGCTCACGGAACTTCTGCCGCACCTCACGATCCGTCGCCTTCTCATTTAGCCCAAGCACAGCATAGTAATCCATCTCCTCCTCCTTCTCCTCTACAGCTGAACGTTGCCCACCAGACCCTCGCCCACCAAAGAATGCAGATCCTGGAACAGCAAGGTAACACAGAAAGAGCTGCTGCAACAACAACAACAAAAGAAAGGTACGCGAGAATGAACGTACACCCATGATTCCACTAGCTATTATCGCAATAAAGAATTACCTCCAGTGAAAAAAAAAAAAAAAACAAAAAAATATATATAGTTTACTCGGATTCAGCGAGTCTCTCTATCTATCTCTCTCTCTCTCTCTCCACTGCACCCCTACAAAAATAATATTGTAGCAAAAATATATACCTATACTGTTTACTAGTAACGATCCTTTCCTTTTTTCTTTCTTGTTGTTTTTGTACGCGTGTATACGTGTTTGTGTGTATAACCAAATAAATAAATTAATTAATTAACAATCAAGAGAAAACAAAATAAAGAAAAGTTAGTAAATAATATCAGTCATATAAATTACAAACCTCAATTATTCGCATTCTAACTACCATCTCCCATTGATAAGTATAGTCTACTCTTCGTAGGAGCAATGAACCTTTTTTTTTTTTTTTAAGAGGATGATAGCATAAAAACTTTCCATCCTCTCATCTACCATTCACCGTATCAACCCACCACTCTCTCTCTCTCTCTCTCTCCCCCCCCCCTTTCCTTTCTCTCATACAAACAGACACACAAACATAAACACACACACACACACTCTCTCTCCCCGTATTTCCATCAATCTATCTATCACTCTATCCCTATGCGTGCTATCACTGTCCTGGGATTGGTTTGTACCCAGTCTGTGCCACTGGGGTAAGCACCTGCTGCCCCAGTCGAAGATTTACATCTGTCGCCATACCCGCACCGCCGCGTCGGCCAGAGCGATTTTCCTCCATGAGTTCTGCAGATTGCGTGAGTAACCGCTCCTGCTCTTCGCGCGTTACTTCACGAGTGGCAGTCCGCTTAAACATCATACCGCTGCGCTGCGTAATCATAAGCCGCCGAACGTGGAAGGACAAACTGCTCGTGTGTTCGTCCAACTCCAGCACGCGGGAGATGAACCACTGCTGCACCACCATGTACGGAATGGTAGCGGCAGAGAGACCAAAGAGAGTCTTGCCGATCGTTGGCGTGTTGCGCACAATCCACGATGGTTTTCCCACTCTATCTTTACCATCAATGGGAGCTATGGCGCGAACCACACGGTGCCACGCAAACCGCGAACTGATTTTGTAGCCAAGATAAAAAAATAATGGCATTCCCACAAAAGTGCCCAACATTCCCCTTTCAATAAGCCGCATCTCCGTTGGACTTAAGTTCTCCTCGTAGTTCTGAAGAAACCGTACAAAGTCCGCACGGGTGTACGGCTTTGTCTTTTCATCAAAGTTCATCATCGCCATGCCAGCCGTAACAGTGCCGAGTTCACGCACTCCACCACCCCCACCGCTGCTGCTACTACTGATACTGTTGCCAGACGCCATGAATGAAGACAATAGTCGTAGTGCTAATAATAATAATAATAATAATAATAATAATAATAATAAAACTAAGAGAAACGGTAATAACAACTACAAAGAAAAATGGCTAATAAAAAAAAGAGAGGTAAAGAAAACTCCCCTTTTCTCTGTTGCTTCCAAGTACCCACTTATGTTTTCCACCTTTATTTGGGCTATATTCATTTTGTCAATTTTTTTTTTTGTTCGTTATTATCGCCGACATGTAAAAGGAGAAAGATTGGTAGAAAGAGAGAAAGAGAGAAAATACATATACTTTTTTTTTTTTTTTATTATTCAACCATAAACATAGTAGTCTCGTTAAAGTTTTAGATTCTTCCATGATATTTTTTTTTTTTTTTACTTTCCTGTTTCTTTATTTTAATGATATATCATCACCTCCCATCTTATACAACAACGAGAATGCAGAGTAAAGAAAGAAAGAAACTATAAAATATTTATAAAATTCGAGATGTACAAAAAAGAAATAACTTAATAGAATGACTACGTCAAAAAAGTCTTTTCTTTCCTTTATATATATATATATATATATATATATATTTCTTGGCCGACATATGGGCACATCATTTGGGAAAATACAATAACAGGAAAAATGGAAGAATAAAATAAGGAGAAGTGAAAAAAAAAAAAAGGAAATTATAAAAATATCAAATTATTAAATAAATTCATAAACAAGTACTAAGCATTCCGTGTGTTGTGCGTAAGGATCGGCGGCGTTAAACAGAGACACCCTCATAT